AACTGGACACAGCACTCCAGATGTGGCCCCATTAGAGCAGAGTAGAGAGGGAGGAGAACCTCCTTCGACCTGCTGGCCACACTCTTCTTGATGCACCCCAGGACACCATTGGCCACCTTGGCCACAAGGGCCCATGGCTGGCTCATGGGTAACTTGCTGCCCACCAGAACTCCCAGGTCCTTCTCCACAAAGCTGCTCTCCAGCAGGTTGACCCCCAGCCTGTACTGGTGCATGGGGGTTATCACTCAACCCATTCATCTGGTAACCATCAGAAAGGCACTATCCATGTTCTCTACATTCCACTGGACTCCTAAAGCTTGTACTTTGTCAGGTGCCTGGGGTGTACTTTCTTCATCACAGTGTAATAAATCAGGCTGGCATTTAGGAGATGATGTCACTCATTACCAGAATGTCACCTACTTTGAATAAAATATGTACTGCTGCGAAGTCTTCTCCTCTTTCTTCTAGACATACCAGTGCTACACATTTCTACTCTGATTTACCTGACAATTCTTTTAAGATTTTGCATCTCTTTGAAAAGGCTTGTCTGCCCTCCTGTAGGCTGAATAACTCATTTATGACAATAACTTTTGAGCATCTGAGCTGGCACCCAAAAGACTACTATGACAGTTCATACCTCTCTGTACTGTTATTCCAGGCTCTCGACAGATCCCGTATCTGCTTGTTATGCTTAGATAACATTTTTGAGGTTTTCCTCTTAATCACAGACAAGAAAAGGAAAAGAAAGTGAGAATCTGTAGAATGATAGTGTGATGGAGATATGCCAGAGTAGGGAAAAACACAGGTCAGTCCTGAGCAGATGGTCAACTCTTTTCTTTACAGAAAAGATCAATACCAGTGAAGACTCTTTCAAAAGTTGGAAATGGGCTTTCATGCTGCTATTCAGTCATTCACATCTGGAGACAAGAATTTTACTCTTTGTGGTGTTTTCTGAATCACTGCATACACAAAGATTAAATGAACTGGCAATGAATGAATCATGTCACTTTTTTTTCCATGTATTATCAGGCCCATGCAGAGAAACTTTGTCTTAAATCACCTCTGAAAATTTCTTGACATGGGTAGTTTTTAAGGCTACAGACCAGTTAAGTTTCCAGAATCCATGTACAATCAGGCAACAGTAGGACATACTCTCCTCAGGTTGTCCAAGCTGACTGCCAGACCAACAACAGGTTGTCTGGACTGAATCCCAAAGCTCCAAACTCCTCCTCCAGACAGAGTATGACCACATCCCACTCTTCCTTCAAATGCATTTGGGTTAGGAAGCACTTCCACTTTCATGTACCCCACCTGATCCCCATCTTGCAGTCCATCACAGAAGGCCCTTCAAAATCAGTAAGCAAGTCATCCAGCTGAATGTAGCTCTCGCCATCTCTCTCCACCACACCATGGAAGCAAGGGACACAGGAGCGTAGTGGGTCTTTCATCAGTCGCTCAAAACACTCCTTTTCATTCTCTGAGAAGCGTTTGAGAATCTTCCCACTATCAGCTGCCTTGAAACTCCCTAAAAAAGAAAATCAAACACATGCTGACAAGACTGACCCACAAAAAAGAAAAACACCTTCCCCCACCACTCCAGCTTCATCTACCTCAGCCTCATGACACCAGTCAAAGATTTCCTCTGAACAGAAAACATAACAATCTTTTCATAAAAAATAAAACTCTCAGAACAAACACAGCCGTTGGCAGTGAAAGTCCGTTTGGACACATTCCCATGTCAGAATTTATAGCTTTAAGGAGTGCAGCTGCTCCAGGCCATCAGTTTTTTTTCCATGCTAAACTCTTTGTTAGGATATTAAACACTGCTATACTTACTAAAATGCACAGGAAGAAGCCACAAGCCAGAATTCATTAATCCTCTGACAGGCTACTTTGAAGCTGACAGTGCTGGCTTTGTCCTTAATCCTCACATAGGGTATACCTGCTGAGCGTGCACGTACTGAGGCAGCACGGTCAATCAGCGATGGTTAAACAGACACCAGCAGGCCAGAAGCCAAGCACTGCCCTTTATACACTCACACGCTGTGGCTGTGCATGTGTGTACCTCCAGGTAGTGCCTCTTCTGCAGAGCCCTGCTAATCTGCAGTTGAGCCTGTAGTGCAGTTGGTTTTTTACAACCCTGTGTCTGATTAGTATCCAGTACAAGTGACAGTCTGCATGGGCCAAGATTGGCAATAACTGGACTCCAGCTGTCTGGAGTCTCCTGTCCAGACACTCTCCTGTCCTGCAACCTGTCAGTAACACCTGAGGAAAGTACAGGTTTCCTTCAGAGGTGCCCTTTGATCTACACAACATAAAATAGGTGCCAAAGCAGGAGCCTCATTACTCCTGGGGCTAACACTCAACTTTTATTACAGCAGGATCCTTCAGCTATTGCAAACTCATTCTTCTCTACAAATCCTAGAACTGGCCTCAGCACAAGTGTGAGAGTGGCGATGCACCAGGTTTTAGTTTAGAAAGAACTTGTCGTATCAGAGAAGCACAGCTGCACAAAGGACGGACTAAATACAACTCCAGAAAACTATCTAAAGCAAACTGGAGCAGTATCTCACCTAATCAGCTTCTAGTAACCTCTTAACTCTCCTCTTCCACCCTACTACACAAGCCTCCAGAAGGCTTATGACTACCTGAGCAGTGCATCAGTTCACACAGATCAAGCCAACCCCACACACACTGTGCTAAAAACTGCAAAAAGACTGGTTCATCTTGGCACTCTGTGTGATACAAGTCAGCCCCACCAACACCACTGCAAAATGTAGTTACTTCTTTTCTAAAACTAAACAAATTCCTCTGCACAGCTTTGAAGTGCACCATATTAGTGCATTAGCATATAAAGAGGTGGTTCAGGTACTGCACTAAAGCACGATGCAGCGTAGGTGCCTGCCTACATGTGTACTAATAAACCCCGCACTAGCACTAGGAACAAGGGCTGCATAGGAATTAAATGAAGCACAAGAGAAGCAAACCTGATGACTTCTCTTTGTTGGGTTTTTTTGCCTTACCAATGAAACAAAGCCTACATCAGGAGCACACTTAGCAACTTCTACAGACACAAAACTAGAACCAGCCAACTGAGCTGCTCCTTGCACTCATACCATGGACAATGACAGACTAGTAATGCAAACACCCGGTCAGCAAGTCAGTTTTCACCAGACTTGCTTTCCACCCATGGGCTTACGTTCAGATGAGGGGTTTGGGGTTGGTATTAGAAACACTGTCCTTGCCAGGGCTGAGGCGCAATACAGGCACACACAGTAACCCTTCCCACTAGAGGACTAACATAGTGGCTACTCAGTCAAGAAAGAGGGTCCCGTACTACAACAAACAGCAACAGATAAACTAGGGCTTCAACTCCCCAGTCCCTCTTGTTTCTAACACATAATTTCACATGTACCACTTACAAGGATGCATTGGGAGCCTGGCCCTTCCCCAGAGTCTGACCATTGCTTACTTGCTTATCTCATTATTCAGGTATATCACTCCCCCTTCCTATCCCCACCACAACTGACAGAAAGATGTCCTAGTTCACAGATTTATGTGATATTGCCCGCTTCCTTTTTACCTGAAAGAAGGAAACAGAGAAACACTGAAACACTGTTTTCCTTGCTACTGCCATCCCTACTTGAGAAGATATCCATCTTACCTGTATGTCCGGCCAGCTGCACCCATGAGTAGCGTTTCTTGAAGGGGCTGATGACTGGTAAGTTAACCATGGTTTTAATTGTATGCCATGCCTTTTTCTGGAATACAAAGAAAAGAAATATTAAGTTGGGCAAAAGCTGAAATACTGACATGCCACAAACCTACGACATGGCTTCATGCACACTGAATGGTTCCTCAGTAATTTATAAGTCCTCAAAGGTGGAACCACAAAATGGACACTATAATCATTTTTGGGAAAATATGCACATAAAACCAAGAATGGACAAATACTTAAATATAATGCCCTACCATCTACAAGAAAGCTGCCTGCAAGAAATACAAAAAAAAGAAAGTCATACTGCACATCACAGGCCTGTTCTTAGCCACGCCTGACCCTCCCCGTGTCCAAGTCATGCAGTATGCGGACAGCAGATGCTGAACACACACTTAGCACACAAGTTTCCATGGGACATGAACTCGAGCTGTTTGCCACCATCAGCAATACTTCCTTTCCCAGAGAATTTCAGCATCACCTCATGATTAACAGCTTTCTCCGAGTCAGCAGGTGAGTCTTACTGTGACAGACACATAGAAAATGCATGTCGAGTTGAACACGGAGGTCACCCAGGTCCCTCGGCACCCATTTACAGGGTGCTGTAGAACCTACTCCAGGCCACTGATTCTCCTGCTCCCTCCCCTCTTTCCCAATCTCGTTACTTTTTAACAAAGCTGGGCATTGCTCCGGCTACCTTTGGCTGCCGCACAGCGCAGCTGTCTGGGTACCACTGCGGCAGGCAAGGAAACAGAACAGCTGCTCACAAACAGCAGCTGAGTGCTCTGTCTCAAAAGCAGAAAGGGGAAAAAAAGAAGTAGAAAGTGAAAAAGTCTCAAGCTGTGGAACTGAAACCCAGGTGGGAGAACCACAGCCTGCTGGCATTCATGTTGCAGTCTGAGGGATCCCAAAGAGCTTTACAAACAAGGATGGCAGGCTCCTTTCTGCTGTCATTAGAACATGATACCTTGCTGGAGAAAAAAAAAATGGAGCTGCACAATACCTGTGTATGACAATTTAGTGCTGAGGTTTTTTTGCTGAAATCAAGTATATTTGGGGATTAGGCTGCACTTATGTAAGTGCTTATCAATGGCCTAACTGGCACTCACCAAAATCAATGGGAGGATACCTGATTTTTATTATCTTCCATGCTATACTTCTACAGAAGTGAAAAATACAAAAAGTTAAACTGAGGCAACGATACACAGGCAAAATGTAGCTCTTCAGATCACACTCTGAGTTGGCCACCCTTCCCCAAACTTGTTCACTTACACCATGTTTCTTACAAGGTATCCTCTAGCAATGTGGGTCACTGTGAGAGGGCAAAACCCTGCACTGCCTTAAAATGTATCAAGAGGATATGTGAACTCACAGACCAAGTGATCTTTCTTTTAAGGATCTGTCTTCACAAGAACGTACTAATTTATGCTGCAAATTAAACTGACCTAACAATATAATCACCATATGAGCAAACTTAGTCTGAAGTAAGATTGCTTATTCCTATTTAACGTACTTTGGTTTTGAACACAGCTCAAGCTGAAATTAAGTCATTCTTGGTCTGATAAGTGTGCCGCATGCAGCACTAATAGCGCTGAAAATGTACTGTGCCAGTGAGAGGAAGCATCCAAAGGAAATCCTGGATGTTTGAGAATCACAAAGACTCAGTTGCACTTACTGCAACTCCGCAGATGTTACTAGCTCAAGCTAAAGTCCAGTTTCATAAATACCTTCTGCACGTTAAATGATCCTCTCATATTCCATTTTATTTGGATTTCATATTCTACATTATTTGCCTTAAGTTGTTCCACACTGCTGCCTTACAGTGCTAAACAGCAAGTGGGCTCTATCACAGAGCTAGCTGCTGTTTAGTGAGGATGAGAGAGACTCTTGTACACCACTTATGCACGTCCATAGCCTCCTTCTGAAGGAAAGTGTAGTGTAAATATTGCTACTCAAGTAGCAAAGATAAATTACTTTCGTATAGTCTGTTTGCCAGATTTAACTGATAGCAGAAGCCCTTGAGTCTACTCTGTTGTTTCTTCTCCATAGGGACATAGCCCTAAGTTATTTAAAGAACAGTTGAAAGTAAACATCATTCTGAATTAAAATGACTCCTTTGAACGTAACTCCTGTCAACGATTGTTATTGAAGATTCCAGACCAATTTTCAGGGTAGCACTGCTTTTTCTCCATCCCTTTATCAGTCAGCATTGCTCCATAACTCTCCCATACAGATACTCATCATACTGTCCCATCCCTAACAAACTGCATCCTGTCTCCAGTGGCTTGTCATACTGCTATATCCTGGGGTGATGAGAAGCACGGGTTTTCAAGGAATGCACATCAACTGTCAATACAACACCACACTCCAGTGGCTTTCTTGCCTCCTCCCTCCCACCCAGCCCTAATGAAGCTGTAGCTTTTATTCCTACTGTGGGTGTGAAGGAGATACAACAGGCCAAATTCAGCCCCAGCTCAAATGGACTTTGGCTGCTTAGGTTATGGCTGCCTTGGATCAGTATGTTTAAGCTACTCATCCAATCAGCAGACACTGACAATTTTTATTCTTTTTTTTTTTTTTTAATTTGAAATAATCTCTTCATAAACCTTCTTCCCCCACTCAAGACAGTGAAAGCATGAGGCTTAAGCTAGGAGGGAAAGGATTGCCTCCAGACCCATCCCGTTGGGTGTGCTGCCATCAAAAAAAATGCATTTTCCTCTACTGCAGCTTCCAGTCTCCCAACTCACTCAAGCCAGGACGCAAACAGGGCTGCATGCTGTTGGCGCAGTGGCGTGAGTAGGAAGATGAAAACTTTGTGTGCCTGCTGTAGGAGGAATCTTTCTTACTTCTGTTTCTAAAGCAAGATCTCTGCCTCTTTGTTAGCAATGGTATTATGTGCTTTTCAAATTCCTGCTTTATGCTGCAACGGCAAAGGGGACTGCTACCACTGCCCATCTGTATCTCCCTCAGCTCCTGTTTCTTCTAGAAACCTGCTCAGTCTTCCTTGATCTGCCTGGGTTTCTCCAAGACCTTGTCCCTTCTGGATTCCCAGCCCGTGTACGTTATTCACATATGTTCAGGGAAAACTCAGATATCTCTATCAGCATTGCCTGAATCAGATGCCCTTGACATCACCAATGCTGTTTTATATGCCTCTTGAGATCAATATACTCAAGGGTTTTCCAAGAGGAAAATGGAAACCATTCCACAAGGGCCAAGAGGCAAACATGAGAAATACTAACATTCTTAGATTCAGCATATAAGTTACAAAATGTGAACTGTAACTGACACACTATATATCTATCTATCTCCCCAAGCAATAAAAGTTGTGGGATGCTAAGGAGTGGAAAAACTAGTTTCCTGCCAACAGGTCAGCCTGTGTGACAGGCTGTGCCACTGGAACTGTGTCCCTGGTAGCAAACAAACAAAAATTCAGGGGAAGAGAGCGGGAGAATTGATTCCCGCAATGCAGCCACAATGCATGCATAGGACTTTGGCTTGGTATCTGACACTGATCTGTGTTATCTGGATTACTCTTCTGAATCATTCTTCTGAATTTGAAGTGCAGCACTGAAGAGAAGCATACATCCACGCAGCAGATGTGGCAGACTTGCTCTATGTTAGCACTGGCATACGCAGACAAGATGCTGGCCAGATGAGGTATTCACAACCTATTCAACCCTGGATAAAGGCAGCTGTTGCCACCATGTCTATCCATTTAGAAATAGCAAAGATGAGCAGCAACCAAGAGCTACTGGTTCCTGTGCACACAGCTTTCTCCAGGCCTTTTCTCATGATGAGAGCACAACTTCATACACAGCCATGATGAAGCTGCTCAAATACACCAGTAGGACTCGACTGAGGAAAACCCACTAAACTCACTGGGAGGAGTTGCATCCATTTTAAGGGGTTTTGGCTCAGGCCTCACTGTCTTTGAGAATTAACCCCCAGGAACTACCAGGCTTTCCTGAAACCCTCCCACCATTTTAGGACAAGGGCTCCCAATAGCCAAGCTCATTGAACAGATTAGCGCAGGCTCCCTGAATTGGGTGGGGTTTTTTGGTTGCTGCTGTTGTTTTACACGCAGTATAGAACAACTGAAATCTCCCTCTGAGCATATGCCAACTCCTTCTGGACCAGGAGAGTCACTTTGACTCCAAAGGGCAACGGGGGATAGGGACCTGAACCTTCCTCTCCTCTTCTGTGGAAAAATAAATAGAAATCTCTCCCTTATTTAAGGGTAAAATGAAAACAAAGATCTTGGTTCTGTGAACACCTTAAACACATGTAACTACCCTCAGGCAAGCACCGACAAACAGGTAACACACACAGGAATTTGCAGAATCGAGTCGTAAGTGAAGCAAATACAATAATTAAAAACATCAATCACACCTGAACTAGTATTGAGGGAGGAGGGGATAAGAAAAACCTTTTCTTCAGAAAAAACAAACCCACCAAACATCAGTTTTAATAATCATAGCACATTATTTGAAACTATAGTGAGTTAAAGAACAAAAGTACATTGAAATTAACATAAATCAACAGTCCTTATAAAAGTTTATTCTTCCATCAGCAGCAGAGAGGAGGAATAGTTTCTTGCCTGAGCTGGTAAATTTTCATGGAAATTCTACTAGACTATAGTAAACAATGACCCTTGAATCCTTTTTCCAGGAAAGTTTCAGCAGTTTCTCTATCCAAGATCCTGTTGTCTTTTTTTCTGCACTAGTACAAAGCCTACGCAAGCCTACAGAGAGCTATTATGACAGCAAGAAACAAAAGGATAGCGAAAAATTTCTTTGTGATCTTTTTTCCTTTCCTCTAAAAGGCTTTAAGAAAGTACTTAATTGTCAGCCATCACAATCTACTGTTCTCTTAAAGTCTTTACATCATTTAGGCTAAATTCTGCCACTCTGGGACATGAGGGCTGAAATCCGATCTGTAATGCTGGTTGCCACTGCCTACTCAGTGTCTCACTAACTCCTAGAACGAACAAGGTTCCTCCACAGGGACTTGCAAGGAGTACAGAAAACTATAATTATCAAAAAG